TGGAGTTATTACCCTTGGTTTCATTAATGCGATGCATGCGTTCCATGATGTTGTATTGCACTCATTGATCTACCAGTTATGTTGAATGATTTCTCTTTTAATATCAATTACTCACAAATACTTCATATATTTCAATCATACAAACAACTGCTCATTCAATGTGTGACGGGCGTATTATATACCGCTCGCGGTAACCTTGTTTTTGGTGATTTCATAGCCATGTATAAAAGTGTAAAAGCTTTAGGCATTTTGATTAGGTACACATATTTGTACATCCCAAATTTAGGCTCAGTTGATCCGAAAACCTCACGCTAATCACATTCATATTCAGGAGCTTAAGTACTTTCAAGTAACCATTGGAGTTTCAGTTAAATTCTCAACAATTATTGATCTTAGCTTTTTAATGGGAACTGATCAAGTACCGGAAATTTGATTTGTTTTATATTGCTTTAACACTATCGGGTAACAGTATGAATTTGTTAGAAATGCTGATGCTTCACTTCATAATCAGTCAATCACATTCACATGCCAAATACAGTCACAATACACTAAAACTTCATTATACTGTATTGCCAGCTCTTATATTATTTGCCACCTCACATACTGCCAACAAATTTAAAGATACCACTTCCACGTTTTTGTTAAATAATTTCTCTCTGTCCTTTGATACACTGTATACCAAGACATTTTTCACGGCAGCTTAATTTTGAAGGGTGAAAGTTTGACTGGGCAAAGTTTCGTGTGCAATATTGCTGAGCCTCAAATATAATTCTAAGATAATTTCAAAGTTTTAGTTTATACACAAACAATGTACGTGTTGAAACGTTTCAAGACTGACTGGTCCTTTTGTCAAGCTATGACTATGACTGGAGAAAATATTGCAGTATAATGGAGTTTATTGTATGTATTTGTGAAAACTACAAGCTGTTCACTGATAATACATGGTAACATGCTTACTTGTAGGATGGACTCCTACGTGCTGGCCGAGACGTTTAAGTACCTGTACCTGATGTTCAGTGAGAAGTCAGACCGTGTACTGGATATTGATGATTACATATTCACCACAGAGGCTCACCTCCTTCCTCTTACACTGTCTACACTGTCTGTCACCAACGTGACAGCCAGACTACCAAAGGTACTGAAACAGGTCTGGCGAATATATAAAAGATCATGTAAATATCAATATGAGCAGAAAATGAATTTTGAAAATTATTTTGCGGATCTAATTTCTTGTGAGAAGGCTCATAGTCTTTAAATCAAGGCAATAACTCAGTGAACATAACGACTATATGTTATGTAATGTTTATGCATTTCTAATGGCAAGGACCTATTTGACCCAGCTACCTTTGACTTGAGCCCTCCTATTTTACGTTACATCTGCATTAGGTGAGAAGTGAGGTGTACCAGGACATGGGTGACTTTAGTGAGAGTTTTGAGAGTATGTCCCACCCGTCAGACACTGTGTATCTGGAGGACAATAAGCACCACACCTGTCCAAACCTCCAACACCTATACCAAGGCACCAATAACTACGCCTTCAACCTCCGTTCCAAGGTCCAGAATATGGTTGATAAATATACCACCAACTCTAAAAGGTAAATTCACAAAATCAAGCCAGAAGATTATGTTAGTTGTAAGTCAGACATATAGTAATGGTTAAATTAGTTTGAAATTCATTGATTTTAAACAAGTAAATGTTACTTTTTATTGTAAATAACACAATTTCTTGTCTTCAATTATAGCCATATCTATAAGCTGGCTAAATTGTCAAAGTGGTGCTCAGTTTACGAGTTTTGCCTTCAGCAGTAGCCATATTTTCAACTGGACATAATGCTGGTAGGATGATACATTTTGTTAGGCAGCATATTGTCCATTTCTGTGCTATAAAATGGTTTTCCTATCTGACAGGGAAGGCCACAAGCCACGGCTGCGGGCAGCTGACTTTATTGCCGGTAACAAGGCTCAGCTTGACCTTCTGCTCCTGATGGGAATAAAAATAGCCACAATGGCTGATGGACGAGTACAGCTGCTCCATACAGCAGGGGAGGTAATTAGTCTGTACAAAGTTGGGGGCTCTTAGAGGTTGAAACTAGCAGGACACCTATTCGACAGTCGAATAGACCTGCAAAAATGATCTTTAACATATAAGAAGTCTCAGGAAATGAGTTGTTTGAATAATACATTTCTGCTGCTAAATTATGTTGATAAAAATACTCATCTTTAGTTGAAAAATAAGAAAGTAAGGACTTAAGATCATTGGCAGTCATTACTATGTAATGGTAAGATAAATGTCAACTAATTCATTTAGACGTAAGCTTGAGGAAAACAGTGGATGATAATACATTTCCTTTATCTAGCCTTGACTTTAGATATCAATAATTTATTGAACAATGTATGGCATGAATGTGTTTGAAAACAGAGTTGATAAACAGGCTAGCTCTCAAACACATGTGTCCTGATGAGAGTTGTGTGTTGATTATAAGTGAAATGGTATAGGTCACTGTTGTGTTTGCCTGCAGGCTGCTAGTCCAGAAGATGCTGAGGATGGAATGAAATTTATGCAGGAGATGATTGAGCTTTCTCGTCACCAGCAACAAGAGAGTAAGACAACTTTACTATTCTGTTTATATGTGTCGGGGAGAGGAAAAGAGGTGTCGGGGGAGAGGAAAGGAGGGAGGGCTGAACATTGGTGCCATCCGTATTATAATCTTATTCAAGTTGTATCTATGTAAACTACAATAAGGGTGCACGTCACTGGTAGATGACAAATGGGGTGCCTTCATTTAGACACAGTTAACAATTTTTCCATCGTGGCAGAGTCATGAAGGCTTTTTTCACACTCCCAAGTTTAATTCCCTATGATAAGCATTGAGTCATATTCCTTGTGTTATCTTGGGGGGTCCTTATTCAAGCAAGGTTCTTATTAGGTCAAATACTGTATATTTTTAACACTCTAATGATGGAACAATATTTTAATATGAAAAGTAGAAAAGCTGATGTCAGAGTGACAGGTCGGAGTGACTGGTCACAGTGAGAGTGAATTTTATATAGTGTTAGCTTGAATTAGTGCTGTAGTGATTGTTAGCTTGAATTGTGTCAGTATTAGAGTGGCTTGTTTGAGTCAGCACTAGCCATTTTAATGTTTTGGTACCAGTTAAGGAGATTATTAACTCAACTTTAACTAATGTTACATAGAAATATCACCTTGTAATATTTCATTGATGATTACAGCTCAACATGACCCGATGATAGTACAGGTCCTTTCTGACCCTTACTTTGGATCACTGTCCTTCAAGGCTGGACCAGCACAGTTTGGATACAGTCTGAAAACCAACCCTCCTGTGAGTATGCATTTTAACAAGGTGCTTTCTGTTGAAAATAGTTTTCCATCTTTCTCAGCCTGTCTGTTTGGTCTCTCCAATGCAAGATAGGATGGTGATCTGGAATTTCGTGTTAAGCATTCTACGATTCACCATATTTGATTGTTCTTGTAGAGAAGCTGTGAAGTTATTGTATATTACTTTCAAAATGTGAAATATTTAACTTGTAGACTTTATATTCAGGTTGACAGTCAGTACAATTTCCTTTTGTAGCTATTCATACTAGGATATATAATAGAATTTATAATGACAATGAAAACATCTGACACATTTGTGGTAATTGTTTGTGTTCACTCATTTGATGTTACATTTCACTTGTTTCTGATAAAATATTTCAACTTAAAGATATATATTAAAGCCTAAATTAAATGTCTCTAGACTTTCATGCTAATATTTGCATTAGCTTTACCAAGTCAATACTATTATTTGCCAGCCCTACAAAATATCATCTTTTGCTAGATTGTGACTATAATCCAAATGAATAAATTAATCTTGAACAATTAAACAACTACATACCAAAAACTGAAATTGCGGGGAATAGCTGTCAGGTTTAAGTAAAGCAATCAATGAAAGAAAAGTAAGTACCCAGGGACCACTTGTATATAAAACATCTCAAAATTGAGGAAAATCCCAAGCAATGTATTGTCTATAGGAAATCTTGTGGAGATGTTTTATACAAGTGGGACCAGTAGTAATGTCAGCTTTGAGGGGGTATGACTTCCTTTAAATACTGTATGTATGTTGAAGGATTGGTGTAGTGGTTTTTACGTCGAGGTATGACATCATCAGGGTATGACAACATCAATGTAGAGATGTAAGGTGTTATTGTGAACGCTGACCTCATCAAATCCTATATTGTTGTATTGGGTAGATACAGGACATGTTGTGAAGACTAACGTAATAAAAGTGTACTCTGTTGTATAGATCCAAGGACATGTTGTGAAGGCTGACGTAATAAAAGTGTACTTTGTTCTGTTTTATAGATCCAAGGACATGTTGTCAAGGCTGACATAATAAAAGTGTACTCTGTTCTGTTGTATAGATCTAAGGACACGTTGTGAAGGCTGACATAATAAAAGTGTACTCTGTTCTGTTGTATAGATCCAAGGACACGTTGTGAAGGCTGACATAATAAAAGTGTACTCTGTTCTGTTGTATAGATCCAAGGACATGTTGTGAAGGCTGACATAATAAAAGTGTACTCTGTTCTGTTGTATAGATCCAAGGACATGTTGTGAAGGCTGACATAATAAAAGTGTACTCTGTTCTGTTGTATAGATCCAAGGACATGTTGTGAAGGCTGACATAATAAAAGTGTACTCTGTTCTGTTGTATAGATCCAAGGACATGTTGTGAAGGCTGACATAATAAAAGTGTACTCTGTTCTGTTGTATAGATCCAAGGACATGTTGTGAAGGCTGACATAATAAAAGTGTACTCTGTTCTGTTGTATAGATCCAAGGACATGTTGTGAAGGCTGACATAATAAAAGTGTACTCTGTTCTGTTGTATAGATCCAAGGACATGTTGTGAAGGCTGACATAATAAAAGTGTACTCTGTTCTGTTGTATAGATCCAAGGACATGTTGTGAAGGCTGACATAATAAAAGTGTACTCTGTTCTGTTGTATAGATCCAAGGACATGTTGTGAAGGCTGACATAATAAAAGTGTACTCTGTTCTGTTGTATAGATCCAAGGACATGTTGTGAAGGCTGACATAATAAAAGTGTACTCTGTTCTGTTGTATAGATCCAAGGACATGTTGTGAAGGCTGACATAATAAAAGTGTACTCTGTTCTGTTGTATAGATCCAAGGACATGTTGTGAAGGCTGACATAATAAAAGTGTACTCTGTTCTGTTGTATAGATCCAAGGACATGTTGTGAAGGCTGACATAATAAAAGTGTACTCTGTTCTGTTGTATAGATCCAAGGACATGTTGTGAAGGCTGACATAATAAAAGTGTACTCTGTTCTGTTGTATAGATCCAAGGACATGTTGTGAAGGCTGACATAATAAAAGTGTACTCTGTTCTGTTGTATAGATCCAAGGACATGTTGTGAAGGCTGACATAATAAAAGTGTACTCTGTTCTGTTGTATAGATCCAAGGACATGTTGTGAAGGCTGACATAATAAAAGTGTACTCTGTTCTGTTGTATAGATCCAAGGACATGTTGTGAAGGCTGACATAATAAAAGTGTACTCTGTTCTGTTGTATAGATCCAAGGACATGTTGTGAAGGCTGACATAATAAAAGTGTACTCTGTTCTGTTGTATAGATCCAAGGACATGTTGTGAAGGCTGACATAATAAAAGTGTACTCTGTTCTGTTGTATAGATCCAAGGACATGTTGTGAAGGCTGACATAATAAAAGTGTACTCTGTTCTGTTGTATAGATCCAAGGACATGTTGTGAAGGCTGACATAATAAAAGTGTACTCTGTTCTGTTGTATAGATCCAAGGACATGTTGTGAAGGCTGACATAATAAAAGTGTACTCTGTTCTGTTGTATAGATCCAAGGACATGTTGTGAAGGCTGACATAATAAAAGTGTACTCTGTTCTGTTGTATAGATCCAAGGACATGTTGTGAAGGCTGACATAATAAAAGTGTACTCTGTTCTGTTGTATAGATCCAAGGACATGTTGTGAAGGCTGACATAATAAAAGTGTACTCTGTTCTGTTGTATAGATCCAAGGACATGTTGTGAAGGCTGACATAATAAAAGTGTACTCTGTTCTGTTGTATAGATCCAAGGACATGTTGTGAAGGCTGACATAATAAAAGTGTACTCTGTTCTGTTGTATAGATCCAAGGACATGTTGTGAAGGCTGACATAATAAAAGTGTACTCTGTTCTGTTGTATAGATCCAAGGACATGTTGTGAAGGCTGACATAATAAAAGTGTACTCTGTTCTGTTGTATAGATCCAAGGACATGTTGTGAAGGCTGACATAATAAAAGTGTACTCTGTTCTGTTGTATAGATCCAAGGACATGTTGTGAAGGCTGACATAATAAAAGTGTACTCTGTTCTGTTGTATAGATCCAAGGACATGTTGTGAAGGCTGACATAATAAAAGTGTACTCTGTTCTGTTGTATAGATCCAAGGACATGTTGTGAAGGCTGACATAATAAAAGTGTACTCTGTTCTGTTGTATAGATCCAAGGACATGTTGTGAAGGCTGACATAATAAAAGTGTACTCTGTTCTGTTGTATAGATCCAAGGACATGTTGTGAAGGCTGACATAATAAAAGTGTACTCTGTTCTGTTGTATAGATCCAAGGACATGTTGTGAAGGCTGACATAATAAAAGTGTACTCTGTTCTGTTGTATAGATCCAAGGACATGTTGTGAAGGCTGACATAATAAAAGTGTACTCTGTTCTGTTGTATAGATCCAAGGACATGTTGTGAAGGCTGACATAATAAAAGTGTACTCTGTTCTGTTGTATAGATCCAAGGACATGTTGTGAAGGCTGACATAATAAAAGTGTACTCTGTTCTGTTGTATAGATCCAAGGACATGTTGTGAAGGCTGACATAATAAAAGTGTACTCTGTTCTGTTGTATAGATCCAAGGACATGTTGTGAAGGCTGACATAATAAAAGTGTACTCTGTTCTGTTGTATAGATCCAAGGACATGTTGTGAAGGCTGACATAATAAAAGTGTACTCTGTTCTGTTGTATAGATCCAAGGACATGTTGTGAAGGCTGACATAATAAAAGTGTACTCTGTTCTGTTGTATAGATCCAAGGACATGTTGTGAAGGCTGACATAATAAAAGTGTACTCTGTTCTGTTGTATAGATCCAAGGACATGTTGTGAAGGCTGACATAATAAAAGTGTACTCTGTTCTGTTGTATAGATCCAAGGACATGTTGTGAAGGCTGACATAATAAAAGTGTACTCTGTTCTGTTGTATAGATCCAAGGACATGTTGTGAAGGCTGACATAATAAAAGTGTACTCTGTTCTGTTGTATAGATCCAAGGACATGTTGTGAAGGCTGACATAATAAAAGTGTACTCTGTTCTGTTGTATAGATCCAAGGACATGTTGTGAAGGCTGACATAATAAAAGTGTACTCTGTTCTGTTGTATAGATCCAAGGACATGTTGTGAAGGCTGACATAATAAAAGTGTACTCTGTTCTGTTGTATAGATCCAAGGACATGTTGTGAAGGCTGACATAATAAAAGTGTACTCTGTTCTGTTGTATAGATCCAAGGACATGTTGTGAAGGCTGACATAATAAAAGTGTACTCTGTTCTGTTGTATAGATCCAAGGACATGTTGTGAAGGCTGACATAATAAAAGTGTACTCTGTTCTGTTGTATAGATCCAAGGACATGTTGTGAAGGCTGACATAATAAAAGTGTACTCTGTTCTGTTGTATAGATCCAAGGACATGTTGTGAAGGCTGACATAATAAAAGTGTACTCTGTTCTGTTGTATAGATCCAAGGACATGTTGTGAAGGCTGACATAATAAAAGTGTACTCTGTTCTGTTGTATAGATCCAAGGACATGTTGTGAAGGCTGACATAATAAAAGTGTACTCTGTTCTGTTGTATAGATCCAAGGACATGTTGTGAAGGCTGACATAATAAAAGTGTACTCTGTTCTGTTGTATAGATCCAAGGACATGTTGTGAAGGCTGACATAATAAAAGTGTACTCTGTTCTGTTGTATAGATCCAAGGACATGTTGTGAAGGCTGACATAATAAAAGTGTACTCTGTTCTGTTGTATAGATCCAAGGACATGTTGTGAAGGCTGACATAATAAAAGTGTACTCTGTTCTGTTGTATAGATCCAAGGACATGTTGTGAAGGCTGACATAATAAAAGTGTACTCTGTTCTGTTGTATAGATCCAAGGACATGTTGTGAAGGCTGACATAATAAAAGTGTACTCTGTTCTGTTGTATAGATCCAAGGACATGTTGTGAAGGCTGACATAATAAAAGTGTACTCTGTTCTGTTGTATAGATCCAAGGACATGTTGTGAAGGCTGACATAATAAAAGTGTACTCTGTTCTGTTGTATAGATCCAAGGACATGTTGTGAAGGCTGACATAATAAAAGTGTACTCTGTTCTGTTGTATAGATCCAAGGACATGTTGTGAAGGCTGACATAATAAAAGTGTACTCTGTTCTGTTGTATAGATCCAAGGACATGTTGTGAAGGCTGACATAATAAAAGTGTACTCTGTTCTGTTGTATAGATCCAAGGACATGTTGTGAAGGCTGACATAATAAAAGTGTACTCTGTTCTGTTGTATAGATCCAAGGACATGTTGTGAAGGCTGACATAATAAAAGTGTACTCTGTTCTGTTGTATAGATCCAAGGACATGTTGTGAAGGCTGACATAATAAAAGTGTACTCTGTTCTGTTGTATAGATCCAAGGACATGTTGTGAAGGCTGACATAATAAAAGTGTACTCTGTTCTGTTGTATAGATCCAAGGACATGTTGTGAAGGCTGACATAATAAAAGTGTACTTTGTTCTGTTGTATAGATCCAAGGACATGTTGTGAAGGCTGACATAATAAAAGTGTACTTTGTTCTGTTGTATAGATCCAAGGACATGTTGTGAAGGCTGACATAATAAAAGTGTACTTTGTTCTGTTGTATAGATCCAAGGACATGTTGTGAAGGCTGACATAATAAAAGTGTACTTTGTTCTGTTGTATAGATCCAAGGACATGTTGTGAAGGCTGACGTAATAAAAGTGTACTCTGTTCTGTTGTATAGATCCAAGGACACGTTGTGAAGGCTGACATAATAAAAGTGTACTTTGTTCTATTGTATAGATCCAAGGACATGTTGTGAAGGCTGACGTAATAAAAGTGTACTTTGTTCTATTGTATAGATCCAAGGACATGTTGTGAAGGCTGATGTAATAAAAGTGTACTTTGTTCTGTTGTATAGATCTAAGGACACGTTGTGAAGGCTGACGTAATAAAAGTGTACTCTGTTCTGTTGTATAGTTCCAAGGACATGTTGTGAAGGCTGACATAATAAAAGTGTACTTTGTTCTATTGTATAGATCCAAGGACACGTTGTGAAGGCTGACGTTATAAAAGTGTACTCTATTCTGTTGTATAGATCCAAGGACACGTTGTGAAGGCTGACCCATTCAGTGCTTGTAGTTCCATTAATAACTTTGAGGAAGTGGAAGCGAAAATTGTCATCATTGAGCGGGGCAACTGTATGTTTGTGGACAAGGTAACGGTGTCTCCTACTCATCAAACATGACAATTCACATTGTCAAACCTTTTGTGTCAGAGAAAATGCCTGCATTAATATTTTCCAAATCCATGTGTTTCTGCATATCCAAATGAAACATGACTTTTCTAGAACCTGATGTATATATTTTCTTTTGGTATTTTAACAGATACATTGTATATGACCTTTGATTAATGATGTTTGTTCGTTAACAAAGAGTTAAAAAATCTTGATGGCTCTGTTTGAAATTTTAATTTCTGTGGTTACTTAATATTAGTTTTAATAGCAAATAATTTGTTGTTAAAATCTGTTTCCTTTCACAGCTGTCTCATTTTCTTTTAAATAAAAATAAATTGTTTTTGTAACGTATAAGACCCCCCCACCGCCACCACCACCACCACCACCACCACCACACACACACACACACAAGTATAGAAAAGATAAATGATATCTCTCAGTAGTAATAATATAGAACACATTTCAGTTTATCAAATTTGTATCAAAATAGAAATATTTGAGGAGAAAAGCTATTTCAATGGGTATTGCGTGATTTTTACATGTATTGTCATATTATGTAGAAAAAGGAAAATCTCACCTTTGTAATTGATTTTTTTTCAGGCAAGGAATCTACAAAAAGCTGGTGCTAAAGGCAGCATTGTAATAGGTGTGTAAATACAACCCTACTCATCATTTTCTAGATGTAACATCTGCCTGTGTAATACACGACATGTCATGTCTATATAAGTAACCACAGATATGTTATTAGGGCCCCGTATCAGAGATACGGGTGCCCTATAGTAATCACTCTGTCTGTCTGTCTGTCTGTCTGTCCACAAATTCTGTTCCTGGCTGATAACTTTGGTATTTATTGACCGATGTACATGAAACTTGGTCAAGATGTTCAGTTCACAAAAATACACATTGAGGTAAAAAATCAAGGTCATTAGGTTCAAAGGTTAAGGTCAAATTTTACATCTTTTCACAGATGAACATTTTGTTATGACATCATGAAGCAAAGTTGATCAGAAGTTAACAAGGAAACTTAAATTAGCAAGGAGTCAACTGACCAAAGGTCAAGGTCATCGGGTCAGGGGTCAAGGTCAAATTTTGAAGCTTTTCACTGGTGAACATTTCGCTATGACATTATGAAGCAAAGTTGTTCGGAATTAAACAAAGAGACACACTGAGGTAAAAAGTCGAGGTCAAAGGTCAAGGTCATTAGGTTCAAAGGTTAAGGTCAAATTTTACATCTTTTCACTGATGAACATTTTGTTATGACATCATGAAGCAAAGTTGATCAGAATTAGCAAGGAGTCAACTTACCAAGGGTCAAGGTAATTGGGTCAGGGGTCAAGGTCAAATTTTGTAGCTTTTCACTGGTGAACATTTCGCTATGACATTATGAAGCAAAGTTGTTCGGAATTAAACAAAGAGACCCACTGAGGTAAAAAGTCGAGGTCAAAGGTCAAGGTCATTAGATTCAAATGTCAAGGTCAAATTTGCATCTTTTCACTGATGAACATTTTGTTATGACATTATGAAGCAAAGTTGATCAGAATTAAACATGTAGTCAACTGATCAAAGGTCAAGGTCATCGTGTCAAGGTCAAATTTTGTAGCTTTTCACTGGTGAACATTTCGCTTTGACATTATGAAGCGAAGTTGTTCGGAATAAAACAAAGAGACACACTGAGGTAAAAAGTCGAGGTCAAAGGTTAAGGTCATTAGATTTCAAAGGTCAAGGTCAAATTTGCATCTTTTTCACTGATAAACATTTTGTTATCACATTATGAAGCAAAGTTGATCAGAATTAAACAAGGAGTCAACTGACCAAAGGTCATGGTCATTGGGTCAAAGGTCAAGGTTAAATTTTGCACCTTTTCCCTGATGAACATTTTGTTATGACATTATGAAGCAATGTTGTTCAGAACTTAACACAGAGTCAACTGACCTTAGGTCCAGGTTAGGGGGTCCAAAGGGTCAAGGTCAAGTTTTGTATTTTTCACTGATGAATATTTTGTTATGATATCAAGAAGCAAAGACGGTCGGAGTTAAAAAATAAGTCAACTGACCAAAGTTTAGGGTCACTAGGTTAATGGTCAAGGTCATTTGGGTCCAAAAGTCAAAGACAAAGTGGATCTCTGACTTTGACCCTGGCTCTTGATGTAGGAGGTATATAAGGTGAAATAAAACAAATCAAAGCTGACAAATGAGTATTGCACTGGTATTTACATTTCTGTTAGCCCAGCAAATATGGAGGTGGAAGGAAACAAGTCTCGCATCATAGTACATGTAAAATGTATATTTTGCTTCCTTGCGATTCTTTTTGAAGTCCAAATGTCAAACGTCAAGCTCAGCCATATGGGCAGATTGGTTCTTGATGATTATGGGGGATATATTGCCACAAGACCGGGCCCTTACTGACCTGTCAGTGTTCTAGTTGTTGGTGTTGATGATTAGGCTTAATCCTAAAATTCTGATTTGACAGCACCAGGCCACCTACTAGGTTAATTATTGCAAAATCCCATAATTTAATGAGAATAAGTTTTATGGACATTTTTGCTGCAGTTTGATTTTCGCTTGTTTCGCCCACCATGATGACGGCAAATTTATCATTTACAGCAAATGTAAGTAAACAACATGATATACATAGTAATTGATTTCATGGGCGAAGAGCGAAACATTTCCCGGTATTACAGAATTTTTGTCGGGTATGGTGATATAGTTTTGCTGCAGTTTATTTATAGTCTATCATTAAATATCAAATGTACCGGCAGTTAGTCAATAGAATTACTTCTACATGTAAATTACAGTTATTCTGTATCTAACAACTTTTCCTTCACAGACAACACTGAGGGGAGTTCCAGTGACAGCCATGCTCTGTTTGCCATGTCGGGGGATGGCCAGCAGGATGTTGAAATTCCACTCGTCTTTCTGTTCCACAAGGAGGGGCAGACAATCCTAAAACTTCTTGAAGAGTTCCCCAATCTTGAGGTCCTGCTAGGGGAGCGCGAAATGAACGCAGGTTAGCATCACTTGTAAATAAGTGTTTATAAGTGTTTAATCACTGATTGGGGTGCCACCTATCCAAACCAACCACATGTTTGATGTTCTGTTATACCACATTATGAATATAAACATAAAATGAGTGATTATATCTTAAGATTGGCTACTTTTAATCAATACTTACTGCAAACTCATGTTGGCTGTAGATAATGCCCCAACTCTGCTAAGGTTCAATGCATGCATGCTTTACAGTAATTTATTTCTTTAATTGAAAGATGACAGCATACAATATTTTACTTCCCTATTAATGAAGAACAAACTTGTTGAAAAACTGCAATGAAGTGTTACTGTATTAAATCTTGAGCAATAATTGATTATCTTGATATCATGCACCATGATCAGTGAAGAACTCATTCTCTGAATTTTTTGGCATAATCGTAAACTTTACAGACATGGGATTGTTTTCCTATCTGAATGACCGTTTGATGAAGTTATTTATAAGCTTGTATAATGATGGAAAAGAAGTAGACAAGACCGACTTCCTAGCTGAGTATGTGGTGGCGTTATCAAAGATTTCTGCCAGTATGAATCAAGATATACCTGCTACATTGTACAGTGAAGATGGATAAATTTGCAATTAATTTAACAGCCTGAGGATGTATCGGGGAAAAAATTGTTACTATGAAAATTGGTAGAATTAGAACACTCTCCCTTACCCTAAAAAAACCCCTTTATTTAGTAAATTTTGTGTGATATTCATTTTGTCATAAACATTGATCATAAATTCAAGCATAATGCAAACATTTCTTTTTGAATATAAACATCAGTTATACATTCTGTGAATGAGACACTAAATGTTTTCACAAACAAGTCTGAAAAGGTTCATTTGGGAAATTAAGTAAGCTCAAAATATAAGTTATGTACTGTATGCTGTTACAGAAGCATTCCTTCCCAAGGAGCCACAATCCCTGATAGAACAGAACCTGGAAGCGAACGGCCCTACGTGTGGAGGTAACACAGCAAAAAAGGCCAAAGATCCTGCTACTGATGATGCTGGTGACAGCCCCGATATTGTACAAACACCAGAAGCAACGGACACAAAGCCTAGCAAACATCGTGTACACATACGTGAAACAAGGGAAGGTAACACGTACAGGCTCCCGACAAGCAGTGGCCATGTCCAGCTTGTTGTGGATGTAGGACGGACTATAAACAAGCCAAAGTATCCCAACATTGTAGATAGAGATGTTATACAAATGAAACATTTGCCAGATGGTACTAAACAGATCGTTTTTAAACTTGATGACCTGACGTCTTCTAAGGTGGTACCAACAACGAAGCCAGAACTTAATCAGATATACGTCAGTGTAGTCCAGGTGTTACAGCAAAGGACGAACTTTGAAACTTTAAGCAATCAAGCAGATCATCTTATATCAATCGCCAGACTGTTAGAGGCAGCTTATTTTGGTTTTCAAATACAGGACGCTAATGATAATTCTCAGGAACTGTTTGATAAACTTGCTGGATTATTAGTGATTAAGCCTTTAAAATCACACGACGATCCCAGTGATGAAATTGTGCAGGAAAAACATACAACGATACCACATCAATTTGGGCATTATGCATCTGAAGAAGACTTTATTGAAGGAAAATCTACTGAAAAGGACGTAAAAACTAGTAAATCTTCAAGAGTTTATGCTAGAATAAACACATTAGAGGAAATAATAACCATTACAGAAGACGAAGAGGAGGAGGAAACTGACTCGTCCCAGCCAGCTGGACAGGCTAGGGACCAAACCTCAACATTCCAAGAAAACGAAATCGCAGAAGATGAAGATGAAGAGTTTTCTCAAAATGACATTGTCATGGATGATGAGTCATTGCCAAATGATGTTCATATAGAAAAAAGTACTATGGGACCAAGGATACCTTCCCGTGTTTCACCATCAAAGCCAAAAGACAGTAATACCATAATTCATGCAACATACCATTCTGAGGATGAAACAGAGTCCAAAAGTCAGGGAGAAGAGACGGGGAATACACCTGAGCGTGACGAGTTATGATAACAAAATTAGTTAAGATTATAGATTTCAAAGGTCCCTTTAGTTCTTAAACGACTTCTGTTGTCCCAAAATTCTATATATTGTTATATTATATAGAAATATTTTTACAATCTTTAATTGTTCAGTGTTGTCAAATAAGGGCACAATTTTATGGTATTTTTCTTGAAACCATATCCAAAAATAACTTCAAAAGGAGAGGATGTTGATGAGTTTTTGCTAAGAAAAAAGTAAACGCATGTTATATTTGTCATAACGGATCAAATTTGTTTACATGATGACTTCTCGGCAGGAACATAAGCCCAATTTATGCATATAATGTATATCTGCACTTCAGATGTTACCTAAACGAATGGTGTTATATGTTCAGCATTTTGACAGAGTACCAGTATTTCTGTTTTTTCTCCATGCATTGTGAGTGCTTCCCAATTACCACAAAAGTTTTCCATTTGTAACGAAAGTTGCTGAATTATCTCATAGGAAAATGGTAGAAATATCTAGAATGATGGAGATAGTCAATGTGATACCTGTTATTGTGCCCTAAGGTATCAGTTCAATATTCTTTATCTACATAGTTTTATAACTAGACTGGAGGTGATTGAACTTTTCGTTTGCTTGAAATATCTTTGTTTGTTTTGCAGAATATATTATTTAATCTAAATGTTAATGACACAGACAATTTTTACTCAAATAATTATCTTCATATTTGGTAAAATATTAGATATCTTAAAAACGAAGTCTCTTTGGAATAAAAGGATGCTCTATACTTTTGTTCCTGAATATTGATACCTCAAAATGAGTTTGTTCTTTACAAAGTGATTTCTTTTAGGTTGATATTTGTCAGATAATATTTATGTAGTTTTGAATGTGTCAGATTTTAAGATGAGTTCCTGCTGACTTTTTGCGAAAAATTAGAAAGGTACAAACAGTCATTCCATCAATAGCAAATTGCCAAAATGAACTGATTCTAGATCATAAAGAAGTTCTAAACTTTCCATCCATGCCATAAGTGAAGATAAGTGCCAGAAACCCCCCTCAAAAAAATACTTTATACTTGCACTGGCACAGTGAACCTGTCATAAGTGACTGTTGGAAAACTAAAATTTTAGTGAACAAATTTTGCCTGTTACACTATGAGGCTCATTTTATTAGCTAGATGGAAGCATAATATCATGTGTATTTTGAGGCTCAGGTAAATACTAGGTCACTTTTTAGCTGACTTGAGCGATCATGTGAGCTATTGCCTTATGTCTTTCTGTCTTCTTCTGTCTCCATGTATCATACCAATTCATGACATGTTTTCGACTTTGTCTTCAGAAGCACTAAACTGATAGACTTCGAAGTTGGTACAAATGTTTCCTACGATATCCCAACCAAGTGTTCTTAATATTGTTATCGCAAATTTGAAAATCCAAGATTGCTGCCCTAGGGTCTGATTTGCTGAGACATTTTTGACTTCTTCTCAAGAACAGCAGCACTGATTAACTCTGAGTTTCCTACGATATCCCAACCAAGTGTTCTTAATATTGTTATCGCAAATTTGAAAATCCAAGATTGCTGCCCTAGGGTCTGATTTGCTGAGACATTTTTGACTTCTTCTCAAGAACAGCAGCACTGATTAACTCTGAATTTTTTTACAACATAAGAATTCCCAAACAGGTCTTCTTACTTTTCGTGCCAATCCAAAATTTCAAGATGGCCTGTGGCTTCTGATTGACTGAGACATTTTCGATTTGAACTCATGTGACTGAAAAGGCAGCTTTGGCCTCTTGTGTTTTATTTTAATTCGCGTATCCGGTTGAACCTGTAAAGAAAATGACAGGCACAGATCTGGACAGAGGCTGTCCCCAGGAAAATTTGGCACGTGTAGATTGAGGGGTCCAGACGTACCTGACCGAAACTAAAATGCTGACTATTGCCAATTTGCGTTATTTCTTTCTAAAACAATGCCAAGCCACATGTAGTTTTTAAGATATGTTATGTAATACAGTGGACGCGTGAGAGGAGGGCATACTATTCTTGATACCTTGTTTTTTATTCTCTGAAACTGTGCATTTTTAGCTCTGCTTATAGAACGGTCCAAGTGCGTTCGTTTTTCGACTCGTGGAATATTTCTGCACCACACATACCGTTTCAACCGGGATACGCGAATGTAACCCTAGACTCATTCTGAACCCATACAAAAAACCCATATAGCCTTGGTACAACTAACAACCCATCAAGGTGGTATTTGGATTATCAAAACAGTAACATTTTTCAATATCTTGTATTTGATCTGTTTTCTAATTTACAATAATTGTGAATTCATCACAGATAAAAAGCATATTAAAAACTGCTTCAAGGTACTGAAAGTCAGCTAGGAACCCATCTTTAATTGTACTGGTATGTTTTGTTTTACAAGTCAATAGTGTTGGTGCCCTCCATATGTCACCATTTTATGTTAACTAAGTGAATGTATGATATTGTGTACCTATTGATCTGGTAGTACTTGTTCTGATGAAAAAATATTGTTGATTTTGTAATGAATATATATGATTTTTGTTACATGTACCTTTGATCTTGTGAGATGTCCTATGAATATTCACGAGATCATGAATACTTGAAATGTCAAGTTCTTCACAGACATAATTATTGGTCAAAAAGAAGTGCTAGTATAAATGAACATTTGGTGCAAACGTATAGCAAGTTTTGCTAATAACCTTTTGGCCAACACTTCCCTAATTGACAAATTGTTTTTTAACAGGGGCTATATACAGTCAAATGTGGAACCTTTTTAGTTCAGCAAGAAGATTAACTTTAGAGCACCGATTTAAATAAGGAAATTTTGATACCTTTTTATTGGTATTTACTTATTGGTTCTGGACTAATCAGGTTCCACTGAATGTTTTCCTTGTTTGTGATGTACTTGATGAATGCTACCCTTGAAGCCTAACTGTGATCAAAGTATCTTGTACCAGTGAATATATAATAATGAAATGGGGATTTCTTAAAAACAGCTCGCTGATTGAATATTTTGACTGAATGTGTATTTTGTTTTGCATTTATTTTGAGCACGAATAATCCTAGTGCAAAATCAAACGATATTCATATTTGAAATTATTTATGATTTCCAGTTACACTCAACAGCTTGTGTATGCCTAAAAAGTAAGAATTTAGTTTATACATTCTGTTTAAGGAAACTTGTCCCTATGTAGGCAAAACACTAGAGAATTCCAGTGTTTTTTTCATTTAAACAGTTACCTCTCATTTGTTTCGAGTTTGATGTAACTGGTTTCGATTTTGATAACTGGGCCAGAAGATTTCTGTTGACCTGGTAGCTCATTTGGTTAGGGTGACCGTATACCAATTAAAAGTCCAGGGTTCGAATCCTGGTCAAGCCACTTTTAAATTTTACACTCAAAACAGAAGGGATAATCATATTTTGGTTATTTCATCGTTACTGTAATAATTGATATTTTCATAGAAGTCCCGTAAGGTCTGGGTTTTTTCTTCAGAAATGATTTTGGCAGTGGTACTGTGACCCTTAAACAGGATGTACATGTACCTGTATGTTAAAGTTAAGTTACTATGTATAACAGCTCCTTTGGTATATAACACACTTTTCATGTTTCATTGTATGTACCACCAAGTATGTATAAGTATATTGAATAATTCCTCTTTCCTCTAATTTTACAATTTGAAATCCTGATGGAATCGAACTGTTGCTTAAATGAAATGGCCAATATAAGGATTTTGTATGAGGATGCTTTTCCCTGTGAAGATCGGTTAGAATGTTAAAGTGTTGTGTTGTGAAGGGGTCTAGTTATAACCTCCGACAAATAACCCAAACATGTTATGTGAAGTATCAGTGTTACTGGTATATGGAGTGTCTGCCCATACTTCTTACTCTATGATTTTCTACCTAAGACACAGCTCTAGACCTATACATACAATGGTGTATTGATTACATTTTCATGAATATTATAATGAAGCCTGCAAGATGCAGACCTATGATGGCACCAGGTAAGTGTATTTTGTATGTATAGTAAGCAACACAATAACGGAACCAAAAAATGTCCTCAATGCTGTGGAGTACATTACAGTTCCAAGGGGTTTACAGTTATGTGGACATAATTAAGGCTCACAGCACCAGTATACTATGCTAATGAATATGCTAAGTGGGGGTCCCAGCAATCCACCTTCTCAGAAGTATGTGGTATTGTACAGGTCAACACAAGGAAGTCCCCAGTAGTACAGAACATTAAATGTCTATCTTAGTTATAGTGGTGCCTTTTACAACATATCGGTTTGACTAGAGCTGCTAGGATTAATAGACGACAATGTTGTCCTTAAAATGACATCATCAATACCCTAGAAACTCTGGTGTGCGATGATGTTTTATAGAGTTTTAAATTATTCTATTATAACTGCATTGATATTTCATTTTTTTTTTATATATATAAATAAGCTTTTTCCCTGCATGAGTTTTAACAAAAAATATCTCCTGAAAACTAAAAATATCTTCCTGTGTAGAAAGAATTAGTTTGCTTTTGGATGCTGATAGATTGCTAAAATACTTAAGTTTATATGTTACCTTTCATAAGTAGTTTAATGCCATAAAAATTCAATGATCATGTTAATACATGTATATTTTCAAAAACATATTGCCAGAAACCTGATCTTGTCATCCCAGCTTTCCACATTATGTGTTTATATTTCTGTATGATTTTAGTAACAGTTATGTATGTATATTTGTTTCATCTATATGTTAAAAAAATCAATGTTTTCCGAAATGTTGCTATTGGAAAAACTTTACCAATTTCTGATATGCTTAAAAAGTAATTTAGTTCATGGCCAACAAAACTTTTCTGAAAATTGCCAGATCAAAATTATGCCAAAAGTTGAACATAGGAATGCTTATGTAGAACATGTATGGAATACATCAATAGATAGATTCAAATGACTATAGGAGTCAGCACCATTATTTCATTGGACTTGGGTGTGTTTTGTGCTGCCACGAATAATTATGGTTCATGTAGTAATAATGTATTGCAAATGTATTATCTAGGTCTATAACTTTCTTCCAGCTTACAACGAAACTTTTGATCGGCTAGGCTTGGTGTGTTCAATGGCATCACTATCACATAGCATTTGGACATCACAAGGCAAATGTTGGCAGCTGGCTGTAACTGTATGAGTGAGAATGTTCAGGGTCCAGATTAGTGCTATGTGAAATTGTATCAGTTTCAGAACCAAAAATGTTCACACTGCAATCAGTTTCACAAAGCAAACCATTCCACATGAACGAATGTCACTTCTACAGTACTTGGTATAGCATTTGCATACACAATTGAACATATTTGTTTTCACACCATTTATACTTGTCATTATCTTGCAATAGTCCATCCTGTTTAATATATAGTCATTGTCCAAGTCCAGTCCTCCGACAGCCACCTCAGGGAACTGAACACTACTGACAAATCAAGGTGTTCTTAATATGGAGGTTCAAATAAACTTTATTATGAGCAAATAGGAATTGGAGTCACTGTCCTTTATAGACAGGTAAATGTATTTACCATACAGAGGTCAACTTTATATTATTTAATTTAGTGATGATCTATAAGGTTTTTAACAGGTATATACTATACTGTAAGTCGACCTTTATAGAATGGTATTTACCGTAGAGAGGTGACCTCTATAGACATATATTTACTCTAGATAGGTGACCTCTATAGACAGATATTTACCATTGAGAAGCGACCTTTATAGACAGGTATTTACCATTGAGAAGCGACCTTTATAGACAGGTATTTACCATATAGAGTTGTCCTTTGTTGCATGTTTGAATCTGTGTTGAACCACATGAGTAACACGAATACTAACTATGAAGAAGTTCAATCTTAAGACTACTTCCAATATGACATTAATTGGTTTTGTTCAAACATATAGAAATGGTTATATGGGAAAGGTAGGCACATAAGTTTGTATTTATAACATACATGAGTGTACTTTTGAACAATCAATTCCTAAGGAGAACCTGACAATTACCATGATCCCGTATCTCATTTTCTGTCATGCAAGTTCCTTACTTAACCATAAAGATATGATAATATACTTATTAATACAAACTGAGTTGTTATAATTATGAAATTCAATTTTTGTAATAATTTCTTTTATATACTTCTGTCAACAATTTCAGTTACTGTAATTAAGATGAACATATTATACATTTTGACCCTTTTATTTATTCTTTTGTTGTTGTTTATAAACCACTGTTGTTACCATACAATAGATTTTGTTACTGTAAGATAGAAAATATTCATACATTTTGTTTCATAATTTGCAGTCATTGATTCAACAGTGCCCACTCTGAAACATATTTTTAGTACATTATGTAGCAATAACTTTTCACATATTCTGATCCTAGTCGCATCTGCGGCGATTTGTTTATGAATATTTCAAACTTACAGGGCAATCTACTGTGTTATTGTTGTTTTTTTGCAAAGCCTTCCCTGAGTAAAGTGAGTGGCTTGATTTTACATTGTCTGCCATATATTGATGTTACAAAATAGAACTTTATTGTGATGTACATGTGTGGATAACTGGAATGCATGTGAAAATAAGATTGTTCGACTACAAGGTAGCATTTCTTGAATGAATGGATATTGGGCAACTAGGGTACTATATTACTCGACCAATCAGTAAGCTTCTGGAATACTTGAAAAATTGGCTGTGGTGGATTAAGGGGGCATGCCCCCAAACTTCCTAGCCAGCTGTTGGGCCTGCAAAAAAAAAGGTGGGTCATAGGCCAACCTACAGGTTAACATTTTGGTATAATTATTGAGATTCCTAATGTATTAACAGGTACCTACAATTTGGTGGAGTAATCTAGTACAATTGTACATGTTAAATTTTCTTTACTGTGTGGTGCCCTAATGAATGTGAGAGTGATATAATGATCCTGATACATTGTAAAACATTTATCTGAAATACATATAAAAAAAAATTGTCAGAACTATTATGAAATCATGAGAAATAAAAAAAATCACAGATAATTACCTGTTTTATTTCTTATTTATGCTTTTCACATGAAACAAATGCCAAACTTCATTAGGAGCTAAAGATGAATATCAAGAATAGGTCTCCCGGAAAGTGTTGGCAATTCTTGTAATGCAAAATTTTCTATACACGGGACGTCGTGTAAATTCCCGGGATTTCTGTTTAAGATGTTCGTCTATGCTGTCATGACAATCCTTCCAATACACAGATGTTCGTGGAGTAAAAGCATTCTACCAATTCATGTAATTTCCTATCATAAGGCATTCACCATCACTCGGTTTTGTGTAGGGTATTGTAGGTCTAATTGTCGGAACTGATAGGCACACTTATTCCGCTCTGATGTGTAACCCAGTTCATTGTATAATCTTGCTAAGTAGTATGTTGCGTCTTTCACTCTTGATGAAGCTTCGATTTTTTGGAACTTCTCTATCACCATGGCGATCATGTTGACAGCTAGCAATAGTGCTGTAAAAGATGAAATATAGCAGGAAATTATTAACTGCAAGATTTATTTACATGTTTTTGCTTTATACATGTAAAGTCACACGGCCATGCATAACTTCAATAAAAAAAATCCATACTGTGTATGCCAGAAATTCTATTCTAGAATTAGTATGCAGTATACTGTGGAATGTCAATTAGTTTCAATTTGTTGTGAACTATACTAATAATTGGTTGACTAGATTAGCTTTAGTAATTTAGTACATGTAAGTGCAAGGTGTTGTGAGTTGTACTGTTCCATTGAAGGACCAAATGTTACGAGTTATGCTATCATACTAGATGTTGTGTCCTGTACTTATAACTGGGAGGATAAGATGTTGTGAGCTACTGTATGCCATTACAAAGAAGGAATAGGTGTTTTGAGCTATAGTATCTTTTGAGGACCTGAGGTTGTGAGCTATACCTTGGACATGATATGTCTTGCGTACTTCTAAAGGACCAGAAATTGTAACCTAAGACTTAAAGATATCAGAACCAGAGAATATGAGCTGTACTATAAATATGCCACTCTTGCAATTGTGGTTGGGCAGAGCTAGAATTGTTGAATGCTAGCTGTTAGCACCGAAATGGCAGCTCCGGCTGTATGCTCCCCAGGGAGTTGAGAAAGATATTGCCTGGTTGCAAAGGCCCTATAACCACGGATAATAATTTGTGAACTCCTTTGAGACGACCTACGAACTAGGTTGTGATGAAGCAGTATAAAAGAACCTCAAATTATTATTATTTATATTATTAGAACCTCAATTATTATTAATATTATTATTACTTTAGAGAACCAAACATGAGCAGCCATCACATAAGACATAACCATTTCACATGACTAAGGAGAATAGGACCTTTACTCAGAGCATAAATGTCTTGAATTCCTCTGGAGGACTAGTCTGGCATCAGCTTGATTGTAAGCCATACTTTTGACACAACTGTCTTGCTTGACTCTGGAGGACTAGTCTTGTATCAGCTTGATTGTAAGCCAAACTTTTGACACAACTGTCTTGCTTGACTCTGGAGGACTAGTCTGGCATCAGCTTGATTGTAAGCCAAACTTTTGACACAACTGTCTCGCTTTACTCTGGAGGACTAATCTTGCATCAGCTTGATTGTAAGCCATACTTTTGACACAACTGTCTTGCTTTACTCTGGAGGACCAGAGGGTTGTGAACTATTCTCTAGACATAGTTGAGTGTTCCTCAAAGATTTTGAGCTATACTTTACATATACCTTTATTGTGCTAGTCAAGAGGACCAGACATTGTGAAAACTACACTTAGACTTACCGGTCTTACGTTCTTTTGGGGGACTGTTTGCATTGGAAGCCACCTGACAGCGGGCGTAGCAGTACATAGTGCGAGCCTGGTCGTACACGCTACCATGGGACAAGATCTGAACCATCTGTGTGTGTAACAACTTGAGGGCCTGCTCTGGCAGCTTCATCTGAAACTAGGTTGAGATCACAGTTAACTCATTATACAATTACAGTGTAACAGTATCACTTACATGTGAAAATATACAGGACATCAGTGATATAATTCCAAAGTTTACTGTAGAATGCCATGACTGTTTCATATTAATTTTCTTGAAATATTGGAACAATGTTCAATGTTTCAAGCTATACTGACAAAGCTATAGATATGACATGTTAACTCTTGATTGATATGGAGTAAGCTACAACAGTAATAATAACACATGGATGACAAACACTGACACGACTTGGATCATGCATATGATTTATTTTCAAGATAAAGGTCACTTTTGTTTTAAAATGTGAATGAAATCGTTGGTAAACCATTTACAGAATAATTTTAAATGGACGTGTTCACATCACTAAAGGCTAGAACAGACTTGATCAAGGACATTGAAACATTTATCAGATTACCAGGTCCACTTCTATTTTCTTCAATATATATAGAGTCCTTTTGCATGAGTAAAGGAAAAGGTTATGTGGCTGACACTAGTTCTGGTTCTGTAGTCCCATACATGGATAAGCACCTACATGACAGAAATGTTTGTTGCCTACCTGGATGAAGGCAAGATGTACAGTAGCTATGGCAATGATGTATTGGAGATGGTGCTCCTTGGCCTGAGTGAGACAGTCAAGCACGTGAGACAGGGCTGATGTGTGGTTCCCAGTCTGTATGTACAGCTCGGCCAACGTCAGTAGCACTCTGCAATATAACACAGGATACTTTAATATGGCACAACACACTGGAATGTAACAACACACTTCACTAGATGTACAACAAAACTAAGGTTTAAAGGGATATAGTCACCCACTGTTATTTTTGGGATTAGTGTGGTGAGTTTGCAAATTAAGCATGATAACTAATATTTCTAGTCAAGTAATGCTACATCCAATGTCAAAATCCTAATTTCACTAGTGCACAAACCCCCCCAGCATTTATCCACATAAACCTAAAAATAGCACACTGTAAAATCAAAGCTATAACTGGATGACTTTCTACAAAATAAACTTATTGATCCATGTAGTGGTCGATGGACAAAAGGGGAACATGGTTGTCATTCCAAACAAGAGGCCCAAGGGCCTTAGCGGTCACCTGAGTTATATCATAGATACTGGTAGCTTTATTTTATTGTTTAGATGTGATGTGGAAATCAGCATGTAAACTAAGTGAAATACAATACTTGTCATGTCATCAATGGATAAGAATTTGAAAATATTGGTAAATGTT